ATTCTTAATCTTTATTCTTTAATCTTCATTTTCCAAACATCTGGATACAGAAACAGAAGTGGCTTACCTTGCAAATACCCTGTCTTTATTTGCCTTTTCTTTGCCATACTGTACTGACTGGACTTCGGTTCTTCCACTGAAATACATAAAGAAGCACAATAATAAATTGTGAAAAAAGAACTACAAGATAAAAAGACAAAACACAATATTATATTAAAATGTCAATAAAGACAAGATATTTTTAAGAAAGCAGAGGATAAGAAATTGGACTGTTTCATTTGTACACACACTGTTAAATGTATAGTTCCTCCATAAAGACAAAGTTGTGTTCAACAAATACTTCCTATTCTCTTCTTGTGAGTGCAGAACAATGTCATGAGAGGAAGTCCTTCACTGCCATATCCTGTTTTTCCAAGCCTGCTAGCACTACGTCTCTCCCCAGGTCACAAAACTGGACTAAGCTCTTGCTTACATGTGCAATGCGGTGGGCATAGTGGGTAGTAGCATCTGACTTCCACTGACCTCACATGATGTATGTCATCTGTCAACAACATCAGCAGCACAAAGCCATTTCTTAAGAAGCTGGACATAACCCGCCCTCCACATGTCAGGGCAGCCTCTCTCTGACTATAAGCCTTGCTCAGGCAGGATGTTACAAAGCTCTTTAGTGTGGCCAATTATGTGCTTGAAAGTCAAAGCCTGAAGGGGCTCTGCTCTTGTTCCATGAGGATGCCAACGCAGCCCTTCTTCCAAGTGCCCTGGAGCACTCACTTTTCCAGCAAGTACTCAACTTTCTCCATTTGTGGGCCAGGAACCCACACCTCTCTCACATGCATCTCTGGTTTTCCATCATCTGGGTCTTGCCTTGTACTATCTCTCTGCTGTCACAGTGTTTTGCATGGAGATCTGAAGTTGACAAAATGTACTGCACACTGGGTCTTTCCTCTTCTGATGGCAATGAAACCTTCAATCCTCCACATTTATTCCAGTTCAATTTAAGCCTTTTAGGCTACAAAACTAACCAATCCCTTCGTGGGTTTCTCAAATATCTTAATTGCTTGGTATCAACCTTTCAGCTGCCATGCATCTTAGCTCTCAGCAAGTTATCCAGTCTCCTTAGGGGGTCACAAACGTCCTATCTTACCCAGCCACGTGGTGAAAATACTACAGACAATGGCAAAGAAGAGCTACATCAAGTAAGTCGCTGCAGCACACCACCAGTCCTTAATAACCCAACTCACTGTTACTAAGCTGATGATGACTATGTTGTGCCAATGACATTGGGCTGATCAAAAAACCTTTCAGTGGGTTTCCAAGGCTACAAATCTTCAAAAGTGGTGACTGTCCACCTTCTTCTGAGGAGAAGCTGGTGCTGTGCTGCTAACTCAAAGTCTACATATCTCTGGAAGCTTGAACCCAACAGTGGCACTGTGAGAAAAAGACGGGCAATTTCATGCAATTTATGTTCTGTGAAAGCTGATAGGAGGTCAGCTATGAGTCGTTTTTGACTCGATAGTAATGAAAGAGTGGGTGAGGGAGGGTTTTTTTTGGGCAAGCTGTTCTTCCTTTTTGACAAGGATCACAGATAAGAAGACTGGTTTTACCTTTAGCTTCCTTTATGCCTACACATTGATAAATCCAGATTTTTGAGTATAGGAAGGAACTGAAAAGAGAAATAAATATATTTGGAGTGTGAACACATCTGTTTTAAGCAGCTATGTCTATTACATCTGTGGAAAGAATCTCTGGAGAAACTCAGTATCAGCTGTGAAAACTAGGCAAAGTGCTGATTGTGCAGCAGACCACCAACTACTCATTTGTAATTGTAATGAAATGTGCAAAGAGCTGGAGTCATAAAATTAAAGGGGCTGAACTTGCTCAGCATTTAAGTTGAAGAAAATGAAGAACAAATTCAAACCTCGAGATCCAATACTTAAGAATGCTTTGGCTGAGAAAAACTGGATAAATTATGTATACTGCATTGAAACAGATGAGGGAGAGAACAGTTTAAAAGTGATATATGATAGGGTATTATGGTTATCACAAGAGTCCAGAATTAAGGTTGTATAGTGGAGTGTACTCAGGGTGGTTGTGTGTGTGTGTGTGGGGCTGTATACCAATGAAGGAATTTTTCTTTTACTTTTCAAAGAGAGGAGCAAACTGCGGGAGGGAAGGGGGGTGACGGGGAGAAAAGTGCAACAATGAATGAATGGAAATCCAAAATCTCTTTAAATGTTCATTAAAATTAATAAAAATAAAAAAATGAATGCTTTGGGCAGAGTATTAAATGATCCAGGAAGCACTAGAAGAAGATGGAAAGAATATACAGAGTCACTGTACCAAAAGGAATCAACAGAGAACAGCCAGACTTGCAGGCTGGGTTTAGAAGAAGCAATGGTACTAGGAATAATACAGTTAATGTTAGATGATCTTGCCTGAAAGTAAAGAGTTCCAGAGGAATATCTATCAGTGTTTCATTTCAGTGACTATGCAAAGGCATTTGACTGTGTGGATCATAACAAACTATGGGTAAACTTGGGAAGAATGGGAATTCCTAAACAGTTGTGAAATCTATACCTAACATCATGAGTGACATCCACTTCATAAACAACTTGCCTCTGGAAACTCTATGAGCTTTGATAAATGTCGACAGTTATAGGGGGGTTTCAGGCCTTTTTGTCATACGGTCACTATGAGTCGTGTTCGACTCAAAGGCAATCAACAACAACAACATATCTACATCAAGAAGCTGTTGTCTGAATCGAGTATGGAAACACTGCATGGCTTAAAATTGGGGAAGGTATATACATCAAGGCTGTATCCATTCTCCTTAGCTATTTAATCTGTTCGCTGAGCAAATTATTTGAGAAGATGAACTTTACGAAGAAGAGTGTGGCACCAAGTGGCGATCATTAACAACCTTCATTATGCAGATGATACAAAGTTGCTTGCTGAAACTGAGGCGGATGTTAAGCACTTCCTATAAAGGAGTGCAGTATTCAATATGGATTATATCTCAACACCAAGAAAACAAAATTCCTCATCACTAGGCAAAGGAAAACATTATGAAAGATGGAGATAAGACTGAAATTGTCAAGCATTTCATCTTACTTGGTTACTGATTCAAGTTACAGTCTTTCCAATCACCTGCTCTGTTCTAGCTGAGAGATGGAGAGTAAGGATGACAGGAGAAGAATTGCTGCATTTTAGTTGTGATGTTGAATAAGAGTGCTGAATATCCCATAAACTGCCAAACAACAAACAGACATGTATTGGAGAAAGTGCAATCAGAGTGTTCTTTGAAATAATATATGGCGAATCTTTGTCTCATATATTTCGGACATACTGTTTCTTTGGAAAGGGGCATGGTGAAGGTCAGCAAAGGAGAGGAAGACCCTGAATGAAAGAGATGGATACAGAGAGTCTCAGGGAACAGACGTAAATGTGTCGAAGATGGTAACGATGGTGCAAGACAGGACAGAATTCATATCTCTTGTTCACCTAGTTGCTATGAGCTGTACTTGACTTGATGGCACTTAATAAACAAACAAACAAAAACTGTATATGAGAAAGAAACAGAGAGAGACACAGATGCCCAGAGACAGACAAAGAGAGATTTATTTTAAGGAAATGTTTACACAGTTGGGAACCGTGTCTGTGAGTCAAATGTCAGGCTGGGCTCACATGACTTTTGGGGTTGATGAACTCAAGAGACTGGCATGTCAGACTGTGAGGTATCAAGTCCCAGAACCAGAGGTAAATTGATAAGGAACAGATATTGTAATTATCGTGCATAAGTTTTCCTACATGATTCTTATACCGAATGTCATTTAAACATAGCTTTCATGGACCTTTAAAGAATTTTACAGGTGACTAGAGGATCAGAGATTGTAATTCATGATATGAAACAAGTCACACATAATTATTTGGCTGGGAAGAAAAGCTAAAAAAAAGGTTTAAACACTGATAGAAATAACTGTGAATGACTGACAGTGATGGGAAGTAGGAGAGAATAGATTAGCAGACAGGTATGATGACTGGGAAGGGGAGCTGCAGTGAATATTTGATGAGATATTGTAATAAATGGTATAGATCAAATTGTA